GTACAACGCACTCTTTTGGCAGTACTCGTTTTGCAATGTATTGACCTTTCCAATCTGGAACCAATTTTCCTTCAGCTGTTCCAACTTTTTATTTTATTTCCTCAAACTTATCTCTTTTGCATTTTGACTCTTGATTCATTATTTCAAAGCCTGACAGTGTTTTGGGATCCGGGCATGAAGTCCGCAAGCATGTCATGTTATTGAAATCTGAATTTAACTGAACTGAAAAGACAATAAGAAAAATGAAATTAAGAAAAGAGACATTCTTGAACAATGAAATATTAATTTCTTTTGATTTTTGATATTGATTTTTTTTAATTTCATTTTTTTGAAGATAGAAGGTTTTACATTGGAAATTAAGACAATAAAGTAAAATATTCGAATCACACCTTAAGATAATCCGGATGCAAAAAGGATAGCAAAACTGGCTACTAAAACTCCCGTCTAATAGGGAACTTTTATGCTTGGCAACCATTTTTTAGCTTCACTTCTGTCTCGGCAATGGCTACAATGGCCTTCAGTGCCGGATCAAATATTTCATCTTCACAAATCATTCCGACTATTGGCCTAACGTTGTGGGTAGGCAACAGATTATTTATCACATCAGGAGCTTCTTCATCCCAAAAAATAATTCTTTCAGCTTCAATCAAATCTTCAACTACCCTTTTGAGGGTCCAACAGTCCTCCGTACTGTGTCCCACTTCTCCAGAGTGGTATTCACATCTAGTATCAGCTCAGTGCGAGGGGGACTCAGGGTTTGGCCAGTTCAGGGCCACTGGCTGCAATAGATTTAGTCTGATTAGCTTTTGGAACAAGCTTGAATATGATTCACCAATAGGGGTGAACTGATTCTTTCTGAAAGGCTCTCTTGGGCGAAGATTGTATTGGGGACCATTTGGTTGAGGATTATATAGAGCTTGGTAAGGATGGGCATTTCTGGGAGGTGGAGCTCGGTTTTGTGGATAATATTGTGGTCGCGTGTAAGGTTGCACGTTCATCACCACATAAGGAGGAGGTGTCGCGGCATAAGCAGGATCTTGAAGGGGATAATAATATTGAGGGACCTCAGGAAGCATATATGATTGACTGAATGGCCTGCGGGCCCCCCTCGAGCTGGAAGCCATCATGGATACTTCTTCTCTCCCGTTTTCATTTATCAAATCCTCTGAACCATTTTGAACATCTGGTGATGTGGCTTTAAAAGCAGCATGACTCAAGATTCGACACATTTTTAGCCCACCTTCTACCATCTCCCCAATTTTGATAGCCTCGGCAAATGGCTTTCCCATAGCAGACATCATGTTTTGGAAGTAGTCCGCCTCTAGGGCCTGTAGAAAGACCGTGACCATTTCAATTTCATCTATTGGAGGCTTTACCCTGGCAGCTTGCTCACGCCATTTGACAGCATATCCGCGGAAGCTTTCCACGGTTTCTTTTTCAAATTGGACAAAGAGTTTCTGTCGGGAGCAATGTCCACATTATATTGGAACCGGCGGACAAAATCTCAAGCCATATCATCCCACACATGCCAATGAGTAATTTCTTGATTTGTATGCCACTCAGAAGAAATTTTGGTGAGGCTTTACCCAAAATAGGCCATTACAGCTCCTCTTTTCCACCAGCACCACTAAATTGGTTACAGTATCATTTCAGGTGAGCGACCGGGTCTCCATGCCCGTCGTACTTTTCAAATTTTGGCATCTTCAAGCCAGCTGGCAAGTGGAATTGGGGAAACATACAGAGGTCAGAGTATGTGACACTCTTTTGACCACTCAAACCTTGCATGTTTTTCAGTCTTTGTTCCAGGCTCTTCATCTTCCGAGCCATTTCCTCTTGCTCAGGACTTTTAACAACCTTTTCTTGCTCCCCAGAGAGATCATATTGCGGAGGTTGAATGAAAGAGTACGGGGTCACATATGTTATTTCTGGTTGAAGTTGTGGACCTTGAAAGATGAACGTTGGAGGTGGTGCCCTTGAAGCCGGTGCCCGGGGGCGAACCACAGAAGGCATGTCAGGATCATTGGAAGGCATTGGAGGGTGACCGCATGGGATAAGCGGGTTGGGCACAGGGGCGTTGGTAACCTCACCTGACCTGGGGATCAACTTAGAGAAACCAGGGATTGCACTTGGCAGTTCCCTACCATTAGACCAGGCGTCCCACATTTCCGATATGCGGAGATGCAACATCTTATTCTCTTCAGCAACTGCTGATTCTAGCTGCAGAATAGCCGATGTCGGGCTACACTCAGGACCGATGATTGGTAGATTCCTTGCGGAGGCCATCTGTGCCTTTAGATCTTGTGAAGGAGGGGAGGCTAGACTACCAACAAAACCAACCACCAAAACCTGGCTTGTTTGCACACCCAACAACCTTGTTAGTTTTGAGATGCTTAACAGATAGGAAATCACACATTTGGATGCATGCACCTAAACAGTTAAGTGTTTCTACCATGTGTTTGAATGGTTGCATGTTTCATCCCGGCCTTGAGTAGCCTTTCAGTATGTACCTCTTTTCTTTTATTTCTGCCTCTCTTTAGTCACTCGTGATTTGTTTTTTCAATTCGTTTCTGTCACTCTTTTATTTTTTGGCACCCTCTTTTTTCTTATTTTTTTTTCACTCATTTTTTCTCTCTTTTTTTCAGTTTATTTTTCACTCAATTTATTTTATGGCTGTGATCAAATCCGATGAGGATTGCCTATGTATTATGACACTGCATGAATCAGATCTTGCGTAGTTCGGGAAGATAAAAAATGGAGTAAATAAACTAACTTTTTTTGTTGGAATTTTTGAAAGAAATGCTTTAAAAGAAGAAAGGAAATATTTTTTTTGATTTTTTGATTTTGATTTTGATTTTTGTTTTGTTTTTGAAAGAAAAACTTCTAATAATTCATTTGCTTTTGATTTGAACTTTGGGAATTTCAAAGTATAAAGAAAATATATTTTTTTGAATTTTTATTTGTTTTCTCTTTTTCTAATGAAGAAAGAATTTTTTTTGGCTTTTGAATGTTGCCTCTTAATTTTCGAAAGAGGGACTTTTTAAGAAAACTGTTATGAATTTCTGAGCTTTTTATTTATTTACAAAAATACTTCTAAAGAAAAGCAAAAATATTTTTGGACTTCAATTTTTCAAAAATTGTTTTGTAGACATTTACGAAAGAAATATTTTAAAGAAAGAAAAGAATATTTCCCTTTTTGGCTTTTTTTTTTAATTTTTGGAAAAATACTTCAAAATAAAGGAAACCCGTATTTCGAATTTTTATTCTTTTTTATTTTTCTTTTTATTTCTTTTTCCATATAAAAGACTTCAGAAAGAAGGAAACTATTTTTGAGTTTAAAGTTTTTTTGAAAATTGGGGCCGGAACCGATGAGGTTTGCCTACCTATCTAACATCCGGTGAGAATCAGACCCGCGTAGTTCGGTCAGTTTTGACGGAACAGGGAAACATGGCGCTTGAAAATTTTGGCTCATTTTGAAATGACTTTTCTTTTTTCAGAATTTCGGCAGAGTTTCAGAATTTTCTAAATACCTACCTCTCACTTTTCTTTTTCTTTTTTCTTTTTTTGATTTTTTTTTATTTTCTTTCCCTATTCTAGAAGTCGGTCAACATGCAAGCCGAAACAAACAGATGCGCAAGTAGCACGTAAGATGCATTAGGATGGTCTTTTTAAATTTGGGTACACATGTCCTAGACAGACTCAATCCCTGTGTTGAGTTCCCAAAGTCAGATGCACGTGATGCAAACAAACGTTCCTACTAGGGATCCAGCATGAGGCTATGTTATTATAGGTTTAAAAAACTGGGTGTATTGTTCTAAACCTGGCTTACTCGAGTGGACAGCTCGAGCCGGAGGGGAGGGGGGCAGCGTACCGGGAATACAGAAGCTTCACCGGTTTTGCAACTTGTCCGAACCTCGTTCTAAAATTGGGATATGACTCTAACAGAAAAGAAATCACATGAAGTGCACACTTCCCAGATGATTTAGAAGACTCGGAGAGAAGAAGGGTTTCATAACAATTTATATACAGTCCAAACAATATTAAAGCGGTAAAAAGCGACATTTAGCACATTAGGCTCAAACATGTAAAAATCAGATAATAACTAAAGCCAAGTATAAAAGTTATTCTAAGCTCGAATTCTTGAACCCTGAACCAAAACTTCTGGGTTATGATCCCCAACAGAGTCGCCAGAGCTGTCACACCTCCTTTTTACCACCCGAGAGGGGATATAAGGGAATTTTTCCAATTAAAGTGATATTATTCGAAATGGGATTATTTTATTTATGTTTCAGAGTCACCACTTGGAATAATTTAGGGTGTCCCAAGTCACTGGTTTATTTTAAAATCCCAAATCGAGGAAATTTTGACTTTACTTTATAAGTCTGCGAACCATTCTAGATAAGGAATTTTGTTAACCCGGAGGAAGGTGTTAGGCATTCCCGAGTTTCGTGGTTCTAGCACGGTCACTTAAATTATTAATAATTGGCATATTATCTGATTTTGTTACATGTTTTAAACCCATTATGCATTTTTAACTTTATAACCGCTTTTAATTATTTTAACGCTTTTAAGATTTATAGAATTATTTCTTGAACAAGTTACGATTGTCGTACACTTGTTTGTTTTGGAACACACCGCGAACCACGCTACATGAAATGCACTCGTGATTCACAACATGTGTATTTTATTAATATTCGAAGTGGTTATGATCGAGTTACATGAAATGCATACCCGAATTGGGGATTATGTATCGTGACCATGCCACGGGAACCGTATCCATGGCCACGATAATTATTATTAATCGTGTCTAAAGCAAACTACGATGTTCATAATTTTTTCCACTCCTAAGTTTGAGATTAATTGTAAATGTCACGAATTTATAGATAAAATGTAATGGTACAAGATAAAGAAAGGAAGTTGTCACGACCCAAAAATCCCTCCGAATGAGTCGTGATGGCACCTATTCTCTAAACTAGGTAAGCCTAACATAAACTGAAATAGAATTGATATTTGCCAACTTTAAATTCAATAACTCTTAACAATTTACAATTCCCAAAACCGGTGTTACAAGTCACAAGCCTATCTAAGAGTAATTTCACAAAATAATACATCACTGCCTCGAAACAAAGGAGCAAATGGAAGTAAATACAAATGAAGGTGACTCCGAGATCTGCGAACGCTGTAGTAGGTTTACCTTGAGTCTCCACCGCGACGACCCACACAACTACTATCAATCCACCTGGATCTATACATAAAAATGTACAGAAGTGTAGTATGAGAACACCACAGCGGTGCCCAGTAAGTATCAAGACTAGCCTCGGTGGGGTAGTAACGAGGAACAGTTAGGACACCTACTGGTCAAATGAAATGAACAGGATATGATAATAAAACATCAAGATAAATATAACTAAGTAATATCAATTGCGGAGAGAAAATCCAAGTACAAACAGTATAATCAATAAAGGGAGAACACAGATAGCAACAAACGGAAACCAATTAAATCAGATAACCCAAGCAATTCAACACTGACATAACAGAGACGGAGAAAAGTAAGAATGTATCCAATTAAAGTAAACAATGTTAACTCAATCAATCACATCATGTTTAATACACCATCCCGACCATTTTAATCCTCGATTTCTCATATCATAATCTCAACTTTCGAACTTTCTGCACATATGGCACCTCGTGCCCACATATTTTTCATCTCACTCTTAACAACAAAATCCACATAATATACAATACAAAGTGTCCTTACAAATGCACTTAAGATGTTCAAGAAGTCCTATTTACATAATATAAATTAAATTTCAATTTCTAAATAAGTTTGGAAAATCGGCGAGAAAAGATGAAGTTATTTTTAGAAATCATTCGAGTAAGAAAGTACCCCTTTCAATTTAAAATACAACATTGGAAGAATTATTATCTTTAACAGGGGAGTTGATGATTTAAAACTTAGTAGAAATTTTATTTTATGAAAAATACAACCTCAGACGATTTAAGGGGATATAATTGAGAAACTAATTGAATTAAGGATGTAACAATTATTGAAGTTTGAGGTATTGGAAACATTGTGAGTTCTAACGCAAAGGATCACAACAATAAAGGAATCAAACAGTTTAAACATTTGAATTGATAACAACAAATAAACACAACAGCAGAAAGTGCACGGCATCACCCTTCGTGCTTTTACTCTCGTTCTCACCATAAGAATCAATATTCACTTTTATTCTTTCTTGTTGCGGCGTGCAACCCGATCCCAATCATATATCACTGACGCGGCTTGCAACCCGATCCAAAACATATAATATTGTTGCAGCGTGCAAACCGATCCAAATCGTATAATAATATTGCGGTGTGCAACCCGATCCATATAATATTATTGCAGTGTGCAACTCGATCCATATAATATTGTTGCAGTGTGCAACCCGATCCATACAATATTGTTGCGGCGTGCAACCCGATACATATAATATTGTTGCGGCATGCAACCCGATACCAATATACAAATCAACTCCAATCACGAAAGAATCCCGGCAAGGGAGTCAACAACAAGAATAAACACGTCCCGGCAAGGAAACCAACAGTAAGAATTAAATATGTCCCGGCAAGGGAATCAGCTATAACCAAACTTGTACCAACAATTTACTTCACAATGAAACCTCAACTACACAACAAGACATAATAAGCACGTGATAACTATATCGGCAACCACAACAATTGGACATGTAACCTATTTGCACGAAGTCATAGAGGAACTCACAAGCAAGAAGTATCAAAACAACAAGGAAGACAATCACTTCAATTAAGGCAATTTAGGGTCAATGTAACACGTAAGAATTAGAGGAAAGCTAACAACGTTATGGAGCATATAGAGGCAATTTAAGCAACTAGGAAACCCAATCATAACAGGATACTTTCCACATAAGGACCTAAAAACCCTAGAGGCAAATTTCTCACAAATAAGTCCGAGCACACACTCGTCACCTCGCATGCATGGACCATAATTAGCATAGAAGACTTAATTCCTAAGGGGAAGTCCCCCACACAAGGTTAGGCAAGATGCTTACATTGCTTTGCAACGAATTCAAGATTCCAACAAGCTTTTGTCTCGTGAATTCGTACCCGAATTTCTCAAATCTAGTCATAAACAATTCAAAATACTCAACACGAATCGTAGGAACTAATTCCATATGAATTTACACATTTTCCAAACTAAAATCCGAAATTTAGCTCAAAATTGCCCGTGGGGCCCATGTATCGAAATCCGAGAAACTCATAAAATCTGACAACCCATTCCGATACGAGTTCAACTATACAAAAATTATCGAATTCCGATGTCAAATGGACCTTCAAATCCTAAATTTTCAATTTTGGAAAGTTTTACAAAAACTACAATTTCTTTCATCCAAATCCAAAATAAACGATGAATATTGATATAGATTTATGAAATGTACCCACTTCTGAATATAGAACACTTACCCAAGTCGAAATCGTGAAAAACCTCTTTGAAATCGCCCAAATCCGAGCTTGAATAACCAAAAATGGAAGAAATTTCGGACCCCTTCGGTTTTTACACTGCCCAAGGGTATTATAGGGATTTTACATACCTTGCCGCGCTCCCGCCGTGCTCACAGGAAGAAAACTTTCGAATCGGCACGGTCGTGGCGTGGCCGCGCACCTGGGCGGTAAAATGGTCATAACTTTTTGTATACACCTCCAAATGACGAACGGTTTGATGCATTGGAACTAGACTCAAAGAGATTTAATTTGATAGGTTGTTCATTACACAACTTCTTATATACATGTAGATATTCTCATACAAAGTGAGGTCTTGTGCGTACTCATTTGCAACTTTAGTATATTACGAAATTTTCCAACTTGGCTTAGACTTAGGACTTTCCTTAGACCCCATATATCTTATAGTATGCCTCGTACACTTGATATCATATCCCATTGGTATTCATCATGGTAATAGACCTCTTACACATATAAAAAAATATAATTAGAACACGTCAACTTTCTTATTTCGTCAAAATGCACTGAATTATCCTATGGACTTCCATATCCAAATTCTGACATGCGTCTAAGTCCGAAATCACCATACGAAGCTATTGACATCACTAAAATTCTAATTTGGGGTTTTTTGCTCAAAAGTTAACTCTTCGGTCAACTCTTTCCATTTGCTTCAAAAATAAGATTTTGATTTTCTTTAAATTTAACTCCGAATCTTACGAAAAATCAAACTTGACCATACATGCGGGTCATAATGCGTATTACGAAGCTCCTCGAGGTCTTAAGCCATTGAACGAGACGCTAATTCTTAAAACGACAGGTCGGGTCGTTACAGAAGCCCACCAAATAAAACTTTGCATTGGCATGAATTGACAACAGTGCATTCATCGCTCCTATGAGTCTTTTAGCACATGAAAGACAAAAAAGGTAAAATTTTCAATTTCCAACTTGCAAAATATCTAAACAAAATATCTCATCCTTCCAAACCACAAACCATCATTTAAAGACAGAATTCTTAAAATGGGTAGGATCAAATCAGCCCTAAAATCAAATGGTTTATAAGAGTAATCCAAATTCACAATTATTCACATGGGATTTCAACATTTAAGGCAAAGTCCCTAATTGAATGCTTGAAACTAATCAAGGATATAGAGAACCAAATACGCAAGGACATGAATAGGATCATCTTGTTCATAAATGCAACACTGTCTTATTATATGTGAAAGTCATCCTAGAAGTTAACCTACTATTCTCATAAGCCATTACTAAGGTATCAATTATATGTCTACTCTATGATTTTGTCACACGTTTAGCAAAAAAACAGAATCTTATCTCGCCATCTCTTAACTTTTACATGGTATCCATTTCATCACTTGCAGGAGTCTTACACCACTGGAGACTATATTAATGCTATTGTTAACAGACAGAAAGCTAAAACTATAAGTATTGTGTTGTACCATTTATTTTGTAAATCTACCATTATACTAAAAGGAGAATATACGAAAATCAGACAAAATCTCCCTTTTCAAACACACAGCACAATATCCAATCTTGAACTAATAATATATTAATACTACCAAAAATTCTTCCTGGCAAACTACCAGATTCAAACTGGCACAATTAGGAAAAGTGAAGACATCAAAATTGGTCGAATTCTCAGAGGAAAACAAAAGGAATTCATATTAACTTAAGTTTTTTGTTCATACGAGCAGAAGTACAAAAAATGAGGAAGGCATGTGTACCTAATGTTCGCAAATGGAATCCAAATGACCAACTAAAGGCAAATCCGTGAAAGATGGAGCTAAGCTGAAGCAAATAGCCTACGGACTCAGCAAAACATCAGCGACAGATCCAGTGACCAAACAAAGCTTCTTCAAACCAAATGGCACTCGAAATTCCAGAAAAATTGAAGCAAAAGAGAAGAAATTCGAACAGTGTTCAAACCCTTTATTTTTCTATTTTTTCGTTCATTTTTCTTTTGAATTTGACCATTTATCTTGTGTGTGTTTCTTTTTAATTTGATGGAAAGAGGATGATAAAGATGGGGAGGGGAAGGCGTTGGCTTTTTCTTGCTAAAGAGGGAGGGTCTGTTTCTGGCTCTTTGTTGAAGATGAGGAAATGAAGAATAAGAAAAGAAAAGGGAGTTGGGTTGCGCCGTTGGTCTGTTTTTTTAGAGAAGGGAGCTTCTGATTGTTTTCGGTTTTTCTCTGATTTTCGTTAGGTCTAGAACATGGGGAGGGTCTCTCTAATCTAATGTTATTTTTCTAGCTCTAGGTCTTTTAATGCGAGGGGGGTCCGATTGGGTAGGTGGGATTTGAGCTTGGGCTAAAGGATTGGACTAGGGTTAATTAACTGGGGTCAATTTAAGGATTGGCCCAATTTTGAATAAACAAGACCAAACATTTTTTCCTATTTTCTTCTATTTATTTTTTTCTTTTTTCTTTTCTTTAATTAATTAAAACCTAAATTAAGCTATTTTTTTGTAGAAATTAAAATTCTTTATTTATTAAAACAACTAATTAACTTAAAACTACGTAAAGACACTAATTTCTAAAGACTAAAAACTAAATATGTAAAAATGACTATTTTTGTTATTTTTTCCTTAATAATGCAATTAACTCAATGTAATTAATTCCTACATGCAAATTGAACCTAAGATGGCATGAAATTAAACGTGACATTTTTAATAATTTTTTCTATGATTTTAAAATATTAAAATGCATGAAATGCAACTAAATAAAGAAAAACTCCTAAAAATCAATTAAAATTATTTTGGTCTATCTTTAGGAGTTATTTTCATGTAGGACAAAAATTAGGTGCTCACAAGGGGCACAAATAATATCCATTCTGCCCGGTAACATAACTATGATAGCAGCCTCACAAGCACCCAAACTTGACCTGATATAAATTACATATTCTTGTTGAGCTTTCAAATAGCCCCAACCCGAATCCTGATCATTCCCAAATAGTTAAATATCCTTCCAAAAGTCTATAGCAACCTATCGATAATGTATGCTATCAGTTATCCCATTATCAACATGCCTTCACAATCCTCAAATAAGAAATAGCCCGCATATGGGGATATCTAGCCCCAAAACCTCAGGAATACCAAAATTTCCGTACCCGAACTCAACTACGCTAATCAAATGGCTGATACATCACTCATACCCTAGCATCTTGCTGAAGCACCCATATAGATTTTCCGACCGCATAACAAAACCTAAACCTTAAAAGCCTCAAAACCCAGTAATCACCATGCTACTAGCCCACGCACCCACAAACCAAAACTCAAGGTTCTTTCCTAAAATGCACATTCTTCACATATGATATCCAATAATGCCAACCTTTTATTAACTTCTGATATCCATCCAAGAGAAACCCATAATGTACAATATATTCCTTATGCCCATAGTAGCCAGCCGACTCAAGCCGTTACCGAAACCATCGAGAACTCTCCGAGATCCGTCTGCACGCAACTAAGCCATTAGGACCGCATCTCCCCAACTCAACCAGGTCACACACACCGTCGAAACCAAGGTTACTACCACAAATGCTAATGGAGAATTCCTATTTAAAAGGACCAATTACTTCCATTGCTATGCTGACCCAGCACACAGAGCTGACCCATTTCTTCGGATAATCGATATGCAATGATCCCAATCAAATCCCTAAATGCAGATAATCCTAGCACGAACCACATAGCCCAGAATCTCATAAACCTTGCATTTCCTTTGAAGCACCCCATAATGTTGTAACCAAGATGCCCACGCTGAATACACCGTCTGTGAATCTGAAGTTGTTTCTCCGACTCCCCTTGATACTGAAATCTAGATCCATTAATGATGCAGAAATACTGTAAACCCCGACATAACCCCATGTAAGATCTCAGATATTAATCATATATAATTTCGGGGAACCTTCCAATACCATATATACACATCTCAGGCCAAAACTGATAAAACACTTGACTCTGCAGTCTGCATGCCGCTAGTGGACTCCCCCACTTGGCGCAAAGCCATGGAAACAACATCTAATGATCCGCAAAACTAACCTTCACAGTTCGGACAACACTAATCACAAGGTACTCCAAGTCATCTACTAAGCGCACATCCATTCTCGTGACAGTCAAACTCAATTCCTTCAATGCGTTGAATGATAACATGTACCTTTCACTTAGTAGAAATCCCATACAAACCACATAGTCTTCAGTACCACCAACTATCCTCAATCAACATCCAGCTCGTGACCCCACCACGATCTCGATGACTAGTCAACCAATTAAACCTTCATAAGCTCGTACTCATCAATCAAATGCCGGGATCCGCTGCACCTCCATGAGAACAACTGAATAGTACTTCTATACCTCTGTATATTCAGTCTGGACGACATGTTGAGACAATGTTTGAGCATCCCTGGCTCCCTCATAGCCCATTTGTAGCATCACGAACCATCGGTGCATAGAGGACATTGAAAGCACAATATCATACACAAGTGGATGTAAAGGAACATAATATATATGCTCCGAGCTGAATCAATATTGCACCATGAGGAATTAAAGAGGTGGAATTTCATAATAGTTTCTGTAGCCTCTCGAAGATAAGTACAGACGTCTCCGTACCGATCCGCAAGTCTCTACTAAACTTGTTTATGACTCGTAGAACCTATGAATCTAGAGCTCTGATACCAACTTGTCATGACCTAAAATCCCTCCGAAGGTGTCATGATGGCACCTAGTCTCTAAAACTAGGTAAGCCTAACATTAACAGAAATAATGACAATATTTACTAACTTCGAACAATTTCGAAATAGAAGTCTCTGTATAATTTACAATCCCAAAACCAATAGTACAAGTCATAAGCCTTTCTATGAGTAGTTATACGTAATGAATACATCACTGTTCCGGAATAAAGGAAACAATGGAAATAAATATAATAGAAGGTGACTTCGGGGCCTGCGAATGCCCAGCAGGTGTACCTTGAAGTCTCCAGCCACACCAAGCATAAGTCTTAGAACCAACTCGATTTGAAGTACCTAGTTCTGCACAAAAAGATGTGCAAAAGTGTAGTATGAGTACACAATGGTGGTACCCAGTAAGAATCAAGCCTAACCTTGGTAGAGTAGTGATGAGGCCAGGTCAAGACACCTACCGAACATATAAACCTGAGTAGGATATGTCATAAAGCTAACACGATAGGGATATCAAAGTAATGCCAATAGCAGGAATAAATCAAATTACAAATAGTAATGACGATAAGGGGAAAACACGAATGGCAACGAGAAATAACCAAGTAATTAAACAACAACATAGTTGGATATAGATAAGTATAAATGTGCTCAAGTAGGGAAAACGATGTTAACTCAACCAAACAAATTGTTTCTAATACACGATTCCAATAATTCCATCTCTCATAATCTCGTACCATAAATCACAACTTCCAACCCTTTAACACACACATCACCTTGTGCCCACATCTTTCTATCTCACTTTGCACGGCGAAATCCACGTGCTACTCGGCACATAATATCCATGTCAATTGCTAATTAAGATGTTCAAGATATTCCATTTATATATCATAAAGTAAAATTACGGTTTCTAGACCAAATAGGAAATCAATGAGAAAGATGAGTTTTGTTTTAGAAATCATTTAAGTGAAGAAATTAATATTTTCAAATAAAATTCAATATAGAATAACTATTGCATTTAATATAGAATTTATTAAGTTAAAACATAATAACAATTCCTTTTAAGCAAAATAAAACCCCAGACAGATTAAGAAGATTAAGATGGGAAAGCAATTGAAATGAAATATAACGATTATTAGAAATAGTAGTTACTGAAATATACGGCAAGTTCTAACTTAAAGTCACACAAGGAAGAATGATATTAATTCTTTCATTTTAACTCACCATATTACTAACAACTCAACAGGGTAGGAGGTAATGACTTAACGTAGTAAATTCACTTTAAAAATTGATTTACTAGAATAATAGTATTAGGAAAAGAGCGTAGGAAATGATGGCAAGGCAATAAGTCAATGACAATAACTCGATACTTAGAATTCAGAAAAAAACCAGGAATACAGATTATCAAAGTCTCGCACGAAGGAACTAAAGCTAATACAGTAAAAGAGGGGTACCGAAATACAAGATATGTTACGGCGCGCAACCCGATCATACCACATAATATCAATATCATAAGTCACCCTTATTCCACCATATAAATTCACCCTTATTTCACATGTTGCGGCATGCAACCTGATCCCACCGTACAATATCAATATCATAACAATAAACATAATATGTTGCGGCGCGCAACCCGATCCCATCATATAATATCAATATCATAATTCACCCTTATTTCACCATAATAATACACCCTTATTTCACCTGTTGCGGCGTGCAATCCAATCCCACCGTGCAAAAACAATATCACAATATAAATATCCTCCCTTATTCTACCACCTCCCATATTTCACCTGTTACGGCGTGAAACCCGATCCCCCGTACAATAATTTAAATCAACAACAACAATTCAACAACTCAATTACAAGAATTTCTACAACCAAGAGTATGAGTACATGGCAGCAAGGGAACCACGTAAAAATCAAAGGAATACAACAACCTTTACAAAACAACAAGACATATAAGGCACGTGGTAACTACAGAGGCCATCACATCAATTTGGACATGTAACATATATGCATAGAGTCATAAAGAAACTCACAATTAAGAAGTAACAAAACAACAAAGAAGTTAATAATTCAACTACGGCAAATAAGGGCCAAACCACGGGCAAGAGGTAAATAAGTGATAACAACATCATACAGAGCAAAGAGTATCCTAACAATAAGGTACCACATATTATGACAATTTGATAGAAGGCAAGGAAGAAGACTAGATAATCTAACCGGTCAATACCACATATAGACTGTGTACCCACTCATCACTTTGCGTACACGTCTTTCACAAATCAAGATAGCACAATTGACTTAATTCCTAAGGGGTGGTTTCCCCCACACAAAGTTAGACAAGATACTTACCACAATTCGGCCAATAGATACTCAATGATTTTCCTTTACCAATTCACCAACGCTCGGCTCAATCTAGCCAAAAAAGACTTAAATATATCAAACAATGCAAGAGAAAATAATTTCAATTAACAAAGCTATGATACTTATACAATTTGCACAAAGTCAATAAAATTCAACTCCCCGGGCCCGCACCTCAAAACCCGACAAG